ACAATGGGGCTGTATACCAGAAATGGGTAGGACGTTGTTATGTTTGCTGAGCAGTGAAGTAATCATCACTTCTCATGTTTCAAGTAGAGACTCAAGGCTCAGTGAAGCAGTGCATTCAAAGAAACTTCAAACCATCCACCTATCTTCATTTTCTCATTGTATCAGGGATAGTTAAGGGTTGGCCAATGCTGTGTAATTTGTAAATTTAAAGAGTGACAGTTTTTCCATCTTGGTAGATAGGCTTTACCTTTCCAGTCTGGCTTTGTATCTCTTGTGTCTTGAATTAGTTTGCAGAGAGAAGAATTAATATTAAATAGAGAAGATCTACATAATATGGGGGTGCAATTGATTTTTTTGCTTCCGAAGTCTGGATGATTTAAAAATATTTCACTATTCACTGTTTTCTATTTTGTTATATTTTCTAACAAGTACTAAGAAATAAATATATTTAACGATTAACTTTTCAAAATTGGTCTTATTTTTCTTCTGCTGAGGTTTTTTTTTTCCTTTTTAAATAAATAGGGTGGTCCCAGCATACTCAGTATCTAGACAGCTTTTCATCAGTTACTCATCAGCATGCTAATTGCTGTATGACTAATTATGCCCTGAATTCCAGTTGATTTTCTTAATGAGACAGCTGGGTTAATTATGTAATCGTATGATTACATTAGCCTAGAGTGCCCTGGCGAAAAGTAACGCATGCAGTAGTGTGATGTCATTGCATGAACAGTATTCACAAGGGGGTGCATTCATCTTCCGTCTAATGACAGGGGAGGGCAACATTACTCACAGTGCTCTTTGTGTAAACAGTTATATTGAGTTATTAAGATCGGTGTAGTTTTCCAGCTTGTACAATGCAGGGAAAATTGTTTTTGAAGAAAGCTCAGTTTGGAAATTCATCTTTTCATTGATAGTCCAATTTTATCTGGTGGTATAGGTTGAATCTCTCTAGTCCAGCACCCTCAGGACCTGACCAGTGCTGAACTACAGAATTTGTCTAACCTCAAGAGGTCAATCGCGGCTCAAGGGCTCTGATGCCGGCCCTAGAGAGCTGGCCCCAGCATCCTGGCCACTGGACTCAGGGCTCCGCAGCTGGCCTCAGCTGTGGTCCAAGCCTGAAGTAGTGAGAGGCATGGCTAGGGATTCAGGAAACTTAGCCCCACTCATGATAAGCAAACATCCAGCTAACTAAATTCATGCTGGACCAGAGTGCTAGACTAGAAAGTTTCAGCCTGTACTATGGCAAGGTTTACATTTGAGCTAAGCATTAAGAGGTACAGCAATTGCTGAAATATTACTTGAGGTCGGTAACACAGTGCATTGTTTTATTGAGATCTACATTTCATTTACTTTAAAACCCTGCTCTTAAAATATGCAAATAGAACCTGACTCATCCACACATTTAAATGCCACCAAAAAATTGATGGTTGAACAGTGTTCCGTTTTGAGGTCTTGTATTAATTTTGTGGATTTTTTAAACAAAACATACTACTGTATGCTAACTAGTACCTTTCGAGGTATCATCTGCCAGGAACATGACTCTGCATTTGTCCAAAGTTAAACATAGTTGCGTTTAGTGTACCTTTGTTCATTCAGAGGCAAATCCAAGCCCCTCCTTCCTGACCTGAGTTTCATTTGTAGTGGCTCTGATGTGACCCTGCGCACCTGCACGTTCACATAGTGTATGCCATGTATGGCCAGTCAGACCTGCTCAGAGCAGCCCTGAGAGGGCCACCCATGGAGATGTTAGGAAAGGGTGAGCTCTGTAGACACTAATCCAACCTGAGGGCTTGAGTGGCTTAGAAGATCAGTTTTGACCATTATTTATTTCTATTATGGCGCTATATCTGAAGCAGTCAAGGACCAGAGCTCGAAGGTGCTAGGCACTATGCTAATAGAAATAAAGACGAGAGATAATAAAATGAAAGGCTTAGCATAAAAGCAGACATCTCAACTCACCTCTCACCTAGCTTGTGCCACGGAGTAATGATTTGTAGGCCTTTTTGTAGGCTTTTTTTCCTCTGCCTTCTTGTCAGCCCTTTGCCCACGCATGGCACCAGGCTCTTGATTTGTGTCTTATTCTCTAAGTAGCAAAACCCTCATTTACACTAAGTCTCCCAGTTGCTAACATTGATTAGCAAGGTTTTGCTGTCCTGGGGTTTAGAGAGAGAGCACTCCCATATTTGGAAGCTCGTCTTTGTTGCTTTCTGCACACTATCACCATCTCAGTTCAGTTCCTCCAAATGTCACTGACCTTCTGTTAAACTATATGAAACCTACATAACATAAAAGACAGCTTATTTTATTTGCA